AACAGTTTGCAGCTTTAAGTAGATAGACTGTGCACTTGTTTTATCATTTTATTATTTTTGATGCTATTGTGAATGGTATAGATTTCTTAGTACCGTTTTCAGGTTCTTTATTACTAGTATATAAAAACATAATGGACTGTTTTATATTGGTTTTATCTTACCAGCTTGCTAAGCTATCTTATTATTTCTGTTAGCTTTATTGCAGATTTGATAGGATCATGTTTCCTGCAAATTAACAGTTTTACTTTCAAATTCATATGCCTTTACTTTCTATTTCTTGCTTTATTGTATTGGCTGGAAATTTAGTAACATGTGGAGTGCACATTAGAGGTGAACATTTTGCCTGGCCCCAATCTTAAGGGGAAAGCATTTGGTATGAATTAAGTATGGATTAGTTCTAAGGTTCATAAATGCTCTCTATCAGAATGAGGGTTTTTTTTTTCTAGGTTGTGAAATTTTTTATCAACAGATGTGTTATGTCAAGAGCTCTTTCTGTATGGTGCACTCATATGTTTAATGTACTTTAATTCATTAATATTCTTATATTAATTTATTTGCAGATGTTAAAACAGTTTTGTATTCTTGGAATAACCCTCACTTAGTCAGTGTATAATCCTGTGTGTGTGTGTGTGTGTGTGTGTGTGTGTGTGTGTGTGTATGACTGAATTTCGTTGCTAATCTTTTGTTAATGATATTTGCCTCCACATTCATGAATGATATTAGCTTATGAAATTCTTTTATGTTGACATTCATTGTCTGGTTTTGGTATCATATATTGGCCTCATGAAATGAATTGGGAAGTATTACTTCCTTCTCTGTTTTCTGAAAGAGTTTGTGTATGGTTGGAATTATTTGTTCTAAAAACATTAGGTAGAGCCTTACTGGTTTGGCTCAGTGGATAGAGCATTAGCCCATGGACTGAGGGGTCTTGGGTTCAATTCTGATCAAAGACACATACCTTGGTTGCAGTATCAATCCCTAGCCCTGGTCAGGGCTCATACAGGAAGCAACCAATCGATGTGTTTCTCTTACACAGACGTTTCTCTCTGTGTGTCTCTCCTTCTCCCTTCCACTCTCCCTAAAAATCAATGGAAAAATATCCTCAGGAGAGGATTTACAGTAAACAGACAAACACAAACATTAGGTAGAACTCACCAATAAAGCCTTCAGAGCCTGATATTTTCTAAATGGGGAATTTTTAATTTGTAGTTCAATGACTTTCCTTCTTTTATGTGTATTTGAATTTTTATTTCTACTTGAAATGATTTTGGTTCATCTAAGAAAAACAGTTTCTTCATAGACTCCTGGCTACTTTGAAAAGGGCTCGGGATATGGGCCAGATCAACTGGAACCAGTCAGGTTGATAGGGGAGGGGCACGTAATAGAAATAGAATCACGGTTGGGTCAGGGCCTGTCCCCACCCTCCCTCCACTCCCCCACAACTGGCAATGGGCATGGTCAGGGCCTGTCCCCACCCTCCCTCCACTCCCCCACAACTGGCAATGGGCATGGTCAGGGCCTGTCCCCACCCTCCCTCCACTCCCCCACAACTGGCAATGGGCATGGTCAGGGCCTGTCCCCACCCTCCCTCCACTCCCCCACAACTGGCAATGGGCATGGTCAGGGCCTGTCCCCACCCTCCCTCCACTCCCCCACAACTGGCAATGGGCATGGTCAGGGCCTGTCCCCACCCTCCCTCCACTCCCCCACAACTGGCAATGGGCATGGTCAGGGCCTGTCCCCACCCTCCCTCCACTCCCCCACAACTGGCAATGGGCATGGTCAGGGCCTGTCCCCACCCTCCCTCCACTCCCCCACAACTGGCAATGGGCATGGTCAGGGCCTGTCCCCACCCTCCCTCCACTCCCCCACAACTGGCAATGGGCATGGTCAGGGCCTGTCCCCACCCTCCCTCCACTCCCCCACAACTGGCAATGGGCATGGTCAGGGCCTGTCCCCACCCTCCCTCCACTCCCCCACAACTGGCAATGGGCATGGTCAGGGCCTGTCCCCACCCTCCCTCCACTCCCCCACAACTGGCAATGGGCATGGTCAGGGCCTGTCCCCACCCTCCCTCCACTCCCCCACAACTGGCAATGGGCATGGTCAGGGCCTGTCCCCACCCTCCCTCCACTCCCCCACAACTGGCAATGGGCATGGTCAGGGCCTGTCCCCACCCTCCCTCCACTCCCCCACAACTGGCAATGGGCATGGTCAGGGCCTGTCCCCACCCTCCCTCCACTCCCCCACAACTGGCAATGGGCATGGTCAGGGCCTGTCCCCACCCTCCCTCCACTCCCCCACAACTGGCAATGGGCATGGTCAGGGCCTGTCCCCACCCTCCCTCCACTCCCCCACAACTGGCAATGGGCATGGTCAGGGCCTGTCCCCACCCTCCCTCCACTCCCCCACAACTGGCAATGGGCATGGTCAGGGCCTGTCCCCACCCTCCCTCCACTCCCCCACAACTGGCAATGGGCATGGTCAGGGCCTGTCCCCACCCTCCCTCCACTCCCCCACAACTGGCAATGGGCATGGTCAGGGCCTGTCCCCACCCTCCCTCCACTCCCCCACAACTGGCAATGGGCATGGTCAGGGCCTGTCCCCACCCTCCCTCCACTCCCCCACAACTGGCAATGGGCATGGTCAGGGCCTGTCCCCACCCTCCCTCCACTCCCCCACAACTGGCAATGGACATGGTCAGGGCCTGTCCCCACCCTCCCTTCACTCCCCCACAACTGGCAATGGGCAATGGACATGGTCAGGGGCTGTCCCCACCCTCCCTCCACTCCCCCACAACTGTCAATGGGCATGGTCAGGGGTTGGGCTTTATGAGGTCCCTTGGTCTATGTTGTTGCCATGTCAACCAGGGAGGTCCTGTGGACTGGTTGCATGTCCTCATTCTGGCCTGGCCTGAGTAAGATCGTGCACACTGTTTTGTTCAGTCAGGACGTCTTTGAGAATTGAGAAGGGAGAGTGTGTGTGGCTGCAAGGGAGGTGCGTGCTTCACTTCTTCCTCTGTCCTCACCAGGGGACTAGCAGGTTTAGCCACTGGAGGTCCAGAAAGATAGTCCAAGAGCCAGCAAATTAACGATTCATAAATGTTGGGGTCTGTGTCCAGTGACGGGGTTTATACATGTTTACATAGAGGTCATAGTGTCATAAAGACGCCAGTGAGTGGCGTATGTGGTATGTATGTGTGTGTAGTTTGTGTAGTGTGTGGGCATGTGTATTTGTGTATGTGTTGTGTTTGGTGTGGTGTGTGTGGGCTGGGGTGGTGTGTGTGTGGTACTTGGTACGTGGTGGTGGTGGTGGTGGTGGTGGTGTGTGTGTGTGATGTGTGTGATAGTGTGTGTGTGGTGGAGTGTGTGTTCATATCCAGCGGCAATATGAAAGCTGTGTGTTAGGCGAGACAGGGAGGAAGAGCGTTTTCCCTGGCTCTCAGCTCTAGGGCCTGAGCAGTTTGGCTGCATGGCGGTGGTGGGAAGTGGGCTTCATGAGAGAGAAGGAGCCTGCTCTGGCCATTGTCTTCTTTGTTGCTCTCCCAGTCCTGGGGTCCTCACCAGCACACCTCCCCTTAAGAAGTATAGAGAAATGGGTCTGTGCCATTGGCAGATGGGACAGCACTATTGTTTCATTTCTCTACATGTGGAGCAGGTGGGGTAGAGCTGAATCTGCAGTAGGAAGTGGTATTTCCCACAAGGTCTGGCCCCAAACTGATGGACATCAGAAGTTGGATGGATGGGTGGTTGGATGGATGGGAGGCTGATTACCCTGGAGTTACTCCCTCGGGTGGGGGTAGGGGCTGTTCCAGATTTGGCACTTTGTCCACATAGAGAGGCCATGGGAGCACTCAAGGGGAGCACATTTTACTTGTGCCAATTTCAACCCAGAAATAAACAGGAAGCCAGATATTTGGTCTCAGTTTTTTTTAACTGATCTCCTAAGAGATAAGAATTTGAACTAAATACACATTTTCCCTTTTGCACATATTTCAAATTGGGTGAAAATTACACGTGGCTTTTATTAATGGGATGAGTGCAGATCCTGCTGAGAGGGGATCAGTGATAGCACCATAAGGTGGGCAATAGCAATCCATACCCTTTATACCTACAGAATCCATTTACATCCCTTAGTGCTGTGCAGAGCTGCAGAAGCCCAGCGAAGCGCCTGGGAGAGCTCCATGCAGCCTGTGAGTGAACCACGTAGTGCCCAGAAGAGCCCAACCCAACAGGCTGGGGAGCCAGGCACGGCACCGGGAAGAGTCCCACACAGAACCTGTGAGAACACCCAGCTGTGCCTGCAGAAGCCCCAGACAACACCCTGGGGAGTTCAGAGTGGCACCTGCCAGAGCCTCACCCAACACCATGGGGAGTCTGCTGGGGCACTTGAGACAGCCCCAAGCATTGCCTGGAAGACCCCCAAGCAGAGCCTGCAGGGGTCCCACACCTCATTGTGGGAAACCACCATCATTGCCAGCCAGAGCTCCGCCCAACACCTTCGAGAGCTTGGTAGAGGGACTGGAGGAGCCCCAAGCATTGCCCAGGACATCTCCAAGCAGAGCCTGCAGGGGTCCCACACCACATCCTGGGAAACCACCATCAGCGCCAGCCAGAGCTCCGCCCAACACCTTAGGGAGCCTGCTGGAGCTCCTGAGAAAGCCCCAAGCACCGCCTGGGGGCGCTCTGGGCTTCAGTCACTGCTTTCATTTATGTGTCCTAAGAAGCTGGGGGTAAGTGTATGCCTGGTGCTCATAGTTTTGGCAGATGCCGTCTTGCTCTCCTTCTGCCTTCTGACCAAGGGTGCCTGTGACAGCTGCAAAGACTGATAACTCTGCCATCAGGCTTTGTTCCAACTTGATTCCCTTGTAGATTTGACTCAGACGTAATTGCAGATTCATTTGCTCACCACTGTGGGTAATTTTCCGATTTCATGGTGAGAACCTTTTCCGTGTGCTTTCACTCTCACACATGTTAGGAGCTTCCAGTTTGCTCTCACGCTTTAGTGATACTTTGGCTGCGTCTATTTTAAGTTCCAGAGATTCTCAGAACTTGTAGACTTGCTCTGTATTAAATTGTATAAAATCTGAATCCAGTTACAACTTTGAGGTATCCATCTATTGTAGGTAATCTTATTTCTTTTCTTTTCTTATTCCTCTCTGGACTTGGATTTTTGGCTATGTTGGGGTTTTGTTTTTGTTTTTTCAGTTAGTTGGTTCTTATATCAGCATGGTGTTTTTAACTTGGGAATCATGTTTTTATACTAATATTACCTTCTGTGTTCTCCCCAACCCTCCACCCCCTCATAGGTACCTTGCTCTGGTTTTATAAGTGATTTCCTCTCAGGTCACCCTGAGATTGTCATGAAACCCAAGTAAGCTTGCGGCCATTTCGACCCCATGTCCACCTGCTGTCACACTCAGAACCACAGTGGATGACCAAAAGCAGAGGACAGCAGCCAAAATGTGCTCTGGGGAAAATTCCCAAGGGAATTCATAAGTAATAAGAAAAATGCTGAGAATATTTCCTAATATCAACTATATATTCTATACGTATTATTCAGAGCAGTCAATGACGTCTGCACAGGGCATAATGTGGCAGAGTTTTCTGAAAGTCCACTTGTAGCAGCTGTGACATACCACTCACCTCTGCCCCACATCTCAAATGCTCCGCGGTCCCTCTTTCTCCCAGTCCTTTCCTTTCCCGGGGCTCCTGCCCCCCTGACTGGGCAGAAGGGCCCCCGGTTCCCTCCCACCCTCTCTACCTGGGCAATACTGGATGCCCAGAGGTCACAGGCCCTCCCTGTCCCTGCACAAGAAATAACACAGAACTCTCAGGATTTGTGGCCTCTGGTCCTGTTTTAGAGGGGAACTTGCAGGAAGAATTCTGAGGGAGGATTTCTATAGAATAAAAGATCACCTCATCACACCAGCAGTTATCTATTCCTGCATTGCCTCATTGCCCCCGGGGATGAGGGCCTGGTGTTGACCCAGGTTTTCATCTCACACTGATGGGTCTCCTGATGAGTCCAGGCACCTCTATGAACAAGACCCGGACTTGTTCATAAAGCCACTCCTATATGATGGCCTGGGCCATGCTCCTGACCCTGACCTAAGCTATCTGCATCACTGTAGACTGTTCCCTGGCCATGAGGGCCTGGTAGGGCCCACACCTGGGGTGCTGGTGGGTGGGTGCCCCTTCGTTTTCTGAGCCCTGTGGGCCACATTCCCTCTAAGAGCTGTTGGCCACAGCTGCGTCGTGGCTGCCTGGATGGCTCCTCCTTGGATTCCCCTGTCCAGGGTCCTCTGCCTGCTCCAGCCCAGCTCCAGCCGGCCACCTCTGCTACCCACCAGTGGTCCCAGGAGAGGAGGGTGGTAGGTTCCCGCCCCTGGGGTGTCTTTGAACACGCCTGGCTGTGGGAAGGAGGCCCGTGGCCTGCCAGGCTTCCCTTTTTCCTCTTGCAGATGGACGTCTGTGGCAGGAGCCAGAGAAGAGTCCTCCCAGAACCCGCAAGCAGGACACAGCAGACATTGCCACCTCGCCTGTCCAGAGTGAACGGCTGGTCGAAGCCCCTCCACGGATACCAGGCAGTATCCTGGGCCATATTTGTGACCTTGGCCTTAGCCATGTTTGGCATTTTTATTCCCATGCTGCCTGGCATGTGGAAGTACATTGTCTATGGAGTATCCTTTAACTGGGCATCACCTGCCTGTTGTCTAGAGTGGGGAGGGGTTAGAAATCACAGTCCCTTTCCCCTGGAGGACTCACCTCTTTGTTCCCAAGGGACATAGCAGTTTGAGAAAGGGTTGGGAAGTTGGCCGCTGGCAGCACTGCAGAGCTGACTAGGCAGCCCAGGACCGGTGCCCCTGGCATCTCCACTTTGAGGCTGAGGGTCCGAGTGGAGGGAATGCTGCCCTCACACTCCCTGGCAGTGGTCTGGTGTGTGAGCGGAGCATAGTCATAGGAGCAAAGGCCTTGGGCCACACAGCTCAGTCCCAGCCTCACCTGCTCCCAGAGAAGATGCCCCGCAGCCACCTGGCCAACCTCCTGTCCGTTCCCCAATAAGGCTGGCTGCCCTCTTCCCATGACCTTCAGAGTGCAGCTTGGTGCCCACCTGGGCACACAGGCCTTCCCCTTGGTGAAGCTCATGGGACCCACACCCTTAGAAATGCACCTGTTGGCCACTTGCAGGACCATGAAAGCCTCCTTCCAGCAGGTCTGCTTTGTCCTTCCTAGAGGGAGAAATGAGGGGCAGGAGAGGCTGTCCTCGGTCCCTGCCACTAGCTGTGCCCACAGCTCTGGTCAGGCGCCAGGGCCTGGACACCTCGTGCTGTGCTGTGCGGGGGCCTGGGCTCAGTTACTCCTTGACACTCTTCCCACAGGTGAGCGGCGGGATGTTATTGTTCCATGTTATAGTGTACCTCGTCTGTGTCTCCATCGACCCGGGAGAGGATAATGTGAGAAGGAAGAAGATTTACAGTGAACCAGTGCCCACGTTCGACAGATCCAAGCAACACCATGTTATAGAAGATCTGTATTGCTGCCTATGTGGGGTCACCGTGTGAGTGCTGGGGCATAAGGCCAGGCTGCACCGTGGCCTGCACCCACTGGGTGGACTGCCAAGTTTAACGCTATAGCCCCTCATGAAGGGCAGTGCCATGCTGCTTCCCCGAAGAAGCAGGGGCTGTTTACATGCAGCAGGCTGGAGCTGTGACCTCAGACACACATCGCCTCCCCGGCCCTTTGCTGATCTAGGAGCCAGAGCGCACTGTCTTTCTTGGGATTTCTCAGATGAGCCCCCGCCCCAGTGGTTCACAGGGCTGGTCAGGTACCTGGGTCTCCCATGGCCTGGGAACTTAAGTGGCCAGCCTGGTAGTGGGGCCCAGGGCTCAGGGCAGATCCTAGCCCGGAACCCAGGCCTCAAACCCTGGCACCACGTGGCAGGCGTGGCCGAGCGGAGCAGCCCCACCACTTGGACACAGGTTCACTCTGACTGGGGCTGCTGCTGCCTGATCCCCCCTATTGGCTGAGGGGACTCTGACCCCAATTCTTCACCTGCACAGGTTACTGACAAGCTGCTTCTCCCAAACGTTTCCTTTCAGGAGCGAGAAAGCCAAACATTGCCGGGCCTGCAACAAATGCATCGCTGGCTTTGACCATCACTGCAAATGGCTCAACAACTGTATTGGGAGCAGGAATTACTGGTGAGGGAGCTGGGGGGTAGGGGAGGGTAAACGGGGGCCCTGAAGTAGGGTTTGCGGGCTGGGGGCCTCGTGGTTAGAGTGGGGGATCATGGGCAGAGGGGGCTGTGTGCCATTGTTCAGTAC